AAAAAAAGGAAATGAAATGTTAACCTTTTCCAAAAATGTATTTTTAAATTAGTTATCAAAGTCAAAGCACAGAAATCATCAAGCGTATGGTCTGTCTGAAATCTTTAACACCAAGATAATGACCAATACTAATTATTTTCATTTTCTACAATTTATGTTACCTATATTTCCTAAAGCATTTATGCAACTATCTTCAAAAATAATTTCTTCAAGTAGATTCACTACATATTATTGATGATTTTTAATCATTTAAAATATTTTGTATAGTCAGAGATATATGCGTATTTCCTAAATGGTCCTAAGCCTGTGACAGAATATTTTAGCAATTCTTAATTACACCTTAAGGGGCTGCATTAACCATACATAACTAATACAGATATTTTCACTTTGGTTTCTTTTCTACTTTTTCATGAAACAAAACAGCAGATATGTAAACTAATAATTGTAATTTAGTAGGATTAGAAAGTAAAAGAGGGCCAGCCGAGTGGCACGTTGGTTAAGAGTTGGCTTGGGATCCAGCTCTGAGCAGCAGGGCACCAGTCTGGATCCCACATATGAGGGCCAGTGACACTGCCCTCCACAGCTAAGATGGTGAACAACAGCTCGACCTGGAGCTGGGCTGCCATGAGTCGCCAGTGACAGTGTAGGCTGCTGTGGCGCTACAGTGGGCTGCTGTAAACTACCGTGAGCGGCCGGCAGCCAGCGTGAGCTGCCAAGAGCTGCTGTGAGGATCTGCCTCACCCGGGAAAAGCGCAATGATAATACCAACATGGACCAGTGAAGCGATGTCCTCCACAACTAGACTGAAGAACAAAAGAACACAACTTGTCTGTTCCCCTTCTCTTATTCCCCAATGCTGTTCCCTTCCCCCAAGTCCCCAATAAAAAATCTTTAAAAAAAAAAAGAAAGTACTAGAGGGTAGCTGGGTGGCTCAGCTGGTTAGGGCACGTGTTCTTAAGAACAAGGTTGCTGGTTCGATTCCCGCATGGGATGGTGGGCTGCGCCCCCCCACACACACACTCCCCGCAACTAAAATTGAACATGGCACTTTGAGCTGAGCTGCCAACAGGCAGATGGATGGCTCAGTTGATTAGGGCATGTGCTCTGAACAACAAGGTTGCTGGTTCGACTCTCACATGGGATGGTGGGGGGCGGCCCCTGCAACTAGATTAAAAACAGTGACTATACTTGGAGTTGAGCTGCGCCCTCCACGACTAAGACTGAAGGACAACAACTTGACTTAGAGCTGATGGGTCCTGGAAAAACACAATGTTCTCCTTCCCAATTCCCCAATAAAATCTAAAAAAAAGAAAAGAAGAAAAGAAAGTGCTAGATAGCAGGGGACACAAAGGATTATGAACAGTGGTGTACTCGAGCTGGATCATAAAAGTTTACCACATTTAGGAGTAGGGATGCGTGGTATGGACACCAAGTTGGCCCCAATTATTTGCACCTCCCAACATTCACATCCTTGTGTAGTCCTCCCCCTACAAAACAGAATCTTACGGAAATGATGTAACTTTTGATGCTAAGTCTTAAAAGACCTGGAGGTTCTTTCTGTCTTGCTTTCTCTTGATCACTCACTCTGGAGGAAGCTAGCTAGCTGTCATGTGAAGATACTTAAGAAGCTCTACAGAGAGGTCCACGCAGAGAAAAACTAGAGCTTCCTGACAACAATAATACTAACTTGCCAGGTATGTTGTAAAACACTCTAAGAGTAAATCCACTCTAAGAGAAAAACTTTCAGATGATGGCAGCCCAAGCCAACAACTTCACTGCAACCACATGGGACTCTGAGCCAGAGCAAACCAGCTAAGCCACTCCCAGATCCCTGACCCACAGAAACAAAGTAAGATAAACTATTATTGCTGTTTTAACCTGTTACGTTTTGAGAGTAATTTGCTGCAGAACAACAGATTTAATTTGATGAATATATAGAGTACAAGACATATAAGGAGGAGAACAGCATGTGCAAAAAAAGCATAGAGCAGCGGTTCTCAACCTGTGGGTCGCGACCCCTTTGGGGATCAGACGACCCTTTCACAGGGGTCGCCTAAGACCATCGGAAAACAAAGAGGTATTTACATTACTATTCATAACAGTAGCAAAATTACAGTTATAGAGTAGCAACGAAAATAATTTTATGGTTGGGGGTCACCACAACATGAGGAACTGTATTAAGGGGTTCGCGGCATTAGGAAGGTTGAGAACCGCTGGCATAGAGGGATGATATAGCCAAGCAAGTTTGGGTAAGCAGCTCAAGATGGCTAAAGAAAAGAGATGTGGCCAGGGAAGCATGCAGAGACCAGGATCAGAGACTGTCTTCTGCCCAGCTAAGGAATTTGGTCTTTTTAGCCCTTGGCCAAGTAATGAGTAGGAGAAGCTATGCAAGTAATTCAGCAGAGAAATAACAACTAGATTCAAAGTTTAAAAGAAATACTGAGTTTCAGTAGATATTTAATACTGGGGAGGAGGGTTCTATGACTGGACGATCTTGCAATACAAAGATCAGTTACAATCTTCTTTTAACAGTGCAAGAGGAGAAATGAACAGTTTTAGCGTAAAACTGCTCTGGGGCACATTAGTATTCACAGCCAAAGAGTTCACAGCCATCTAGGTTCCCACTAGCTGAGGCCATTAAAGGTGCATCCACAGAGTTGATCCCCTCCCACAGAGGGGAGACAGAGACCTTTCAGGATCATCCTCACCATCAAGTCCCTTCCTATTCTATTCTGCAGGGTGCTACAGATGCAAATCCTCGTAACTGGTTAATGCTACTCCCTAACCATCAGGAGCTGTTGGCCTATCAAGAGGCTAAAAGCAATTGCTGAATCCAAATCACTAGCTAAATGCCACCACTCCCAACTCCACTCCACCATTCCATCCAGGGTAGGTCTTTCGTCAGAGCCCTAATTACTCTCATTCCTGCAGCTCACCTTCCACTAAAACCATATGAACTCGGAGACCCCCACAAGTTACCAGGGACCGCTACTGACTCTCAATGTTGCTGACTTAAAGCCAGCAAACATTTTTATTTTTAAGACTCTAGATTTTCACTTCTTATCACAATATATTTATTCACAAACAAAATTAGGACTCTGATACAATGATTTCAATTACATAATTTCAAATACAAGTAAAACCGAACTACTACACTGGATTGTTCAGGGATACATTCATCACTTTCAAAGCGCAAACAAATAATATCCATAAAAAGCAGGAGAGTGGTTATCTCTGGGGAGAAGAGAGGGCAAGTTTCTGACTGAGACAAAATGCAGGAAGTAAGAGGGCTTGCTGGGGTGCTGCATTGTTTCCGTTTTCACTCTGGGTAGTGGTTACACAGGGTTTGGCTTTAATGTTATTCATTAGATCTCATGTACTTTTCTGTATATTACATTTCTCAATAAAAATGTTTATAAAAAGGCAAGACCCCTTGACCAACAAAAATGTTTAAAAAACACAACAAATACGAAAAATAACACACAGAAAATCCACTAAAGACAATTTAAACACATACGTAATTTATGTATGTTTAAAAATGTTTCTGCCCCACCGGCAGAATCTTTCTCCTAATCAAAACTAATATTATTTGCCTCCTAAAGTGCACAAAGTTTATTAAACTATCACATCTACTGCTGGTAAGCATGGTAAAACTGGTTCTTAAACTCTAATGTGATCACTGTAAAGCAATTTGACCTTTTGATCCAGGAATTCTTTAAATCTCTTAAATTGAAACATAAGAAGAGTTACAAGCATGAAGATCTTACCCTCAATGTTTAACAGCCAGAAGAAAAATTGAAACCAACATAAATAACAGAACACTGGTTAAGAAAACTATGTAGCTCTACTTGAGGTACTATAAGTTCTCCTTTAACTTCATAATCATGATTACTACAGTTATATTTTTTTTAAAAATCTTTATTGAAAATGTATATTACATATAAATATTTACATATAAAATAATTATATAGGATTTCCTTCAAAATAATAGGCGAGGGTATGAATGAAACAAAATCAGTGGTCAGTTGCTACCAGCTGAAACAGAGATGAGTACAAGTGGGGGGTTGGGAGGTGGGCTTCCCTGTACTAGTCTCGTATCTGATGTTATATTTGAAATTCTTCATAATAAAACTTCTTTTAATTGGGGGGAAATTAAGATGATGAGCTGGAATTATATATTTGAATCTTTCTATGCTAAGAAAAAAATATTAAGGGATGGAGGAAAGGAAAACAAATCAAAATCCTATGTTTATACTAAGAAGTCTTCGGTATATTTTATTTCCAAACTTTCTCTGTTTTATTACTTCTATAGTTTAAAAAGTCATAGTCAAACTTTGAATTGAGAAAAACTACTTCGCTATTTGCTCTTTTGAAAATAAGTTAATCAGTTTCTAAATTCCAGTTAACTGGCGATTCCTGATTCCATCTTCTAAGACAGATACAGCGAATTATTTTTCTTTTCAGCACTTACTTCACATTCTTCCCCGGCTTTTCAAGCTACAGTTTTACAGCAGTCCTATTTTGAAACCTAGTTTTCTTCTGCTGCATATTTATGTATTCAATGCTAAAACCGGCATTTTGGTACTTTATATTTTAGCTAAAAACACAGTTCTTGTCTTTTCTTTTGGAGACAGTTAAAAAGAAACAAATACTGTAAAACCTTGGATTGCGAGTAACTTGGTTTGCATGTGTTCTGCAAGACGAGCAAACATTTCTATTAGGTTGGTGTAAAAGTAATAGCGGTTTTTGCCATGACTCGTAATGGCAAAAACCGCTATTACTTTTGCACCAACCTAATAATACATTTTAACTTGGTAAACGAGCGATGTCTTGCAATACAAGTAGTTTGTTTCCGGAATGAATTATGCTCACAAACTGAAGTATTACTGTATAGACATTTTATGCATGACTATATTGCTACTCATAAACTACTGATTAACTAATACCATAATGAGTATTATACTCATCTGAAAATTTAAGTTACTCTGTAATTATACTAAAACGTGTGTGTGTGTGTGTGTGTGTGTGTGTGTGTGTGTTTCTATCACCATAAAGGAAATCTAAATACAGAGAATCAATTTTAAAATACACTTACCAGGATGATTAGAAATGGGAGGCTGGAATGCAAGCTCATTGTGAACTGTCCCTAAAGAAAAGACAATAAAAATCCCATTTTTATTTATAAAAGTTCACCAATGCTAAAACTTTTAATAAACCTTACTTAAATATAACTATCATACCTTAAGAGTTGTTTAGATCAAGCTCATGCAATGTCTAACAATTTAAAAGCTTAGTTTAGATTACTTTATAATTATAATAAGTAAATAGTCTTGAATTATTTTTATGGATATTTAATAACTAACATTTTAGTGCTATGTGCCTAGTGTTGTTAAGCAATTTACAATAGTACATGCAAAATTTATTGCAAACTAAAAATAAATTATTCATGTAACATGTAACACAGTATAATTTATAATGCAATATATAATAATAATTCAAATTGTTAGGTCCATTCTAAAAACAAGTGTTTACAGTTCATTAAATTAAGGGTATTTCCATAATATAACAGTAGCTAACATAATTGAGAGATTATTATGAGTTAAGACATTATACTAAACATCTCACATGAATCACTGCATTTACTTCTTACAACATCCTTTGAGATAGATACAACTATTACCACCCTTAAGGCTTAGCAAGGTTAAATAACTTGACAATGGTCACACAGCTAGTTAAGGGTCCAAACTCAGAACCCTTAACCACTATGCTGACCCAAAGTATCCATTAAAAAGTATATTCTTTTAAGACATGGAAAAACAGTAACATAACAACAACAACAACAAAAAACAGGATATAACAATATATATAGACAGTATGATCCCCTTCTCCCCCCAAATTTACATACACCCATTTATATGACTGCAAGGAAAATATGACAAAATATCAGGAGTGGGTATCTTTGGGTAGTAGGATTCTGGATAAATTTTATTTTCTTATTTACACTCTTCTGTATTTTCCAAGTTTTCTTTGGTACTATTAATCTTATATTGGAAGAAAAAAAGATTTAATATGTATGAAAGATTTATACTCTTGGTTTTACTAAACCAAATGAACAATGTTCCTACTCTGCCTGAAACTTCAAGCTATGGTTAATCAGTAGGGTATCCCTCCCAATCAAGTCTGCGCAGAGTAATGACAGATTCAACGCCTGAGTCTATGGTATGCTGAATACTATGGTAAGGGAAACCGTGAGATCTTGACACTCCAGGGGTTTCAATCCACTTAGAGTGGATATACAGATACACATGAGATTGAAGAACATATACAAAGCAAACAAACAAATGAATGGAAATCAATGTGGTGTTAATGAAACATTAGCAACAGAGAAATAAATGTATTTAGTAAACGTGACTCCTCTAAAACAAAGGTATGATAATCATAAAAAATAAATACTATTTACAAAAAATATTGAAAAGCACTAATCATTTAATAAAACTAAATTGTAAGATGAATAAAAGATGTGAAACCATTATTTTAAAAATAGAAGGAAAAAAAAAAAAACAAAGTCCTCAAAAAGAAAAGGCCCTTACAACAAAAACAAGAGCTTACAGTAATGTCCGGGATGGGGCGGCATAGGCGGGTGGTGCTGAAGATGGCCGTTTTGGTGGTGAGGCAAATTAGGTGTGTATGGTGCAGTCCTACTTCCAGTCCAGGTGGTAGTGCTGTCTAAAAATTAAGGCCCACATGGGTTAATTTGCTTTTATAAAGTCTGCCTGTTTTTTCTCAACGACGTAAAAGATTTTAAAAAGCATGTACATACTATGATGGTAAGTAGCTGGCTGACCAGTAAATCCATTCTGCTGCTGTCCTGGCTGAGGCCCTGAAGCTATCTGCAACAATCCTTCACTATGGCTGCCCGCCAATATAGTGGCAGGCTGACCTAGAGGAACAAGAAGACATTAACATGGTACATTTACAGATGCAACCCCATGGTTTTATACAGTAAATGAAGGACCAAATTATATCTGACCACCACAACTATAAAGATGGACAAAAAGTGGAACTCATTCATGGCCCATCAAATAAAAAACCTTGAAGTCCTCTATAAAGGCAAAACGTAAACTGAAGAAGTTCAAAATTATTCTACCTTAAGTAATGTCTAGCTAATTTTCGTGGCCTAGTTCTTCACAATACTCTTCAAATGCCAGCAAAAACCCCTATATGTCTAGCCTATCATAATAACCTCTTCAGAGGCACATCAGCTCAGCCCTGGCCACTCCATCCAGCTCTGGGCCTTTCTGATTAGGACTCCAAAAGTCCAGGCTCAAGAGAATGTTAAAAACTGGAAAGTTCATTATTATCAGCACTGGTACTGGTAATGGCAGAATGCTAGGGTTTGATAAAAGAAAAGCAGAGCAGGCAAATATTGTAAATGGAATGTGATGGGTAAGGTGAAGAAGTTAAAAAAAAAAACAAAAAACAAGCTCCACTGTCCAGTCATATAGCATTTGCTAGTAAAAAATATATACATACACATCAGACTATCAAGTCTACTTTAAAATTTTTTCATGTACTTTTAAAAACCAAGAATCACCTCCTTCCATGAACATTATCGTACTCCTGGATTTACAGGAAATTAGTTGTCCTCTCTGTATGTAATATACCAGGAGAACGAAGCTGCTTCTGGCTACTATTCGATTCAAAATCATTCTATGATATTGCTTACTGACCTACATTTTTAAGGCCCTCCCTCCCTTTTTAAGTGGAAAAGGCTTGATTTCTTCAAGTAAGCATTAATTGTCAATTGTTTATCTCATTTGGAAAGCAATGAAATTTCATAATTGTTGTCACTGGCATCACTTCCATCTTTTCTCATCCAAATTGGGGTTAATCAGAGAGAAGAGAATAAATGACCACTGCTCAAAGTATTAAAGAAGAAACACATTTTTCTACTCTCTACAAATCATGTTTCCTTAAGGCTAAGGCTATAAAATTAAATGCTAAAGAGAATATTTCAATACCCCCAAAATTATTTAAAGAAAATATTTTTAGTAACCTCCCTTCCTACTCATCCCCCCAACATTTTTGCAAGTTATCTTTAAAGGGTAATTACATTTTTACTCTTACTTTAAACAACTGTACATGCTACATACTCTTAGCTAACTTACAAAAACTGTCACTATGTAGGAGAAATTAAATGCTTTAACTTATAGATACATATTAGAAAGAAACCCACAAGGCATTCAGGTACCAAATGAACATAAACTGTAAATAAAGTAATCCACTGCAGTTATCTGTTCTGAATACTTCCATTACACAATTCCAAGTATATAAGATGAAATTAAACAATTAAATCAACTCATGTAAAATAATCTTCCAATTCCTCTATTTTAATCCAATTTCTTTTCTTTCTTTTAATTCAATCAATACACTTTCTGAGATCTAATGGAAGAAACATTTTGCCACAAATTCTAAAACCTACAATAATTACTATTCAATTGTGAAAATATATCCAAAAATTGCCAAGACAAAATTATCTGCATTTCATTCATATAGCTTTTTCTGGTCTTCATAGGACTGGGCCCCAGGGAACAGAACAGTTAAAGTGAAATCACTTTAGCAAGCATCAACAAAGGCGCGCAAATCCAACCTCCAGATAATATCAACAGAGGTAAGTAGCTGTGCTGTAGCACAAATCTGTTGTAATGGGCCTTCTTTTATTCTCCATTACCATCTACTTTGTCAACTGTATTCCCAAATTGGTAAATAAAGTACAGACAGATAACAGAGGCACCAAATGGTTAAGAGTCCAGGTTCTAAAGTAGGGCTTAACCTACATGACCCACCTAGAATATGAGACTATGCTCACGTATTTTCCGTTACAGACTATATTTGAGTCTCTACGGTGAGACTGTCATCTCAGGTAGCAAATCCAAAAGATACTGCTTTGAAGAGGTGAAATTAATTAAAGAGGGGGAAAGTTGGTATCCTTTACTTGAAAATGCCAATTATATAAATCAGTCCTCCATTTATTCCCAAGATCAAATTTCTACATTGAATCTGATCTGCTATTAAGTAAACAGAATAATGCTCCGTTTGGTAGCAGCTAATGGGTATCAGTCTAGATCTATCAACATCTAGTGCTGATAGGGGAGGGGCTTAGATACAATCTCCTGAACAACCAAGTGCAAATAACACCACACACAGGCCAAGTCTCTGCTCTATGATTAATTAAAAAAAAAAAAAAACAGCTACTCTAAGCAGCAGCAAACTGTCCAACCTTTGGTGACTGTGAAAATAAATAGCAGTATTAACAGAACCAGGTCATTATTGCCTTGATCAGGCCCCAAGAAAAGCTGGACCTAACAGCCCTGTGGCAGAGGTGGTGGCACCTCTATTGTGGGAAAAACCTTTTGAAACAGACTTCTTATTTTTTAAAAAAGAGAGAGTTAGACATGTAGAATTTAGCTTTATTTAGAAATTGACATCTATCTTGAGGGATATAAGTTATAAATAAGTCTGTCAAGATCCTTTCTAAGTTTGCACAATAGGAAACTGAGATGGCTATTATAAAGTAGTATTTTGCCAGATAAAGCAAAATAAAAACATTGATTAAAGGAAAGCTCGCAATTCCACTAACAGGTTTTTTTTTTAACGAACATCTTGGTTTAAAGCTACTTTGTTAACTACTGAAATATTTCTCTAAAATGTATCTGAAAGCTCAAAAGCCTTACCTCTGTAAGTAATAGGAGATAAAGTACAAATTAGACCATTCACTTATATCAATATTATAATCAAAATCATTACTTAAATTCCAAGTGACTGTACATCAATATAAAAATGTTTAAACTACACACACTGTTTTTTCCAGGACCAACCCAGAAACCTTATTTACCTATGAAAGATACCATAGTACTTTTAATTTTTACTTACTTGGAGTTTTCTTCCAAGTGACTACATATAAACATTCAATGGTTAGGAAAAGTCTACCTGCTGACTACATCTGACTCTACCACTCACTTGTGGAAGCCACAGGAATGTTGGGAAAGTTGGTGGTGCTGGTGGCATTAGACTCAGATGGAGCTAACAGAGCTGGGGTGCTGTATGTCTCCGACGATGCACGATTGCTTGGTGGATGCTGGATGGTTTGAATAGAATGCCCTTCAGTGGATAACGATGGCTGTCCCTCAAAGTCATGAACATATTCATCCTTCACCAACATACTTGGTGGAGCTATACAAAAAATTAAACATATTTTAAAATCATATAAGCTTCTACTCCCAGAAAAAAAAAAATCTTATAACAACACTTAAAATCAACCATAGTGTAAATAACTCTAACTCGGAATTTTTTCAATTTTTAAAAGCATTCTATTTTATCAGCAAAAACTATGTATTTAGAGGTAGTGGCATCAGATACATTTTATCAATCAATTTGACTGACTCCTTGAAATGTGAAGCTAGACTATATTCCAACAACTTCCAGCAACGGTCCTGAAGAAGTATTCCTTAGTTTCTCAATTAACCTAGAAGTAATAATCACCTTAAATATACAACATGAGGTAGACGAAAACAAAATGGCTGGGGGAAATGAATGTTCATCCAGATGAGAGGACCAAATTGAGATCGAGATACTTAGCTGTATCTTTTTGCTAATTTCACACACTATGGAAGTATGAGTGGGATCTAATAGCTATCCAATTCCAGGATCTAGAATTATTGTTAAGTAACATAGTCTTTGAAAGCGAAGTGCACTGAACGTCCCCTAAAGGGTTAGAACAAAACAGAAAAATCCTAAATAGTAAGTCAAACTCAAATTTTCTTCTAAAAACCCAATCCAAAATGATGTTTGATAAATATGTGGTGTGAAAAAGCTCAGTAACCAACATCTTATACTTATGTGGTTACACCTTACTAAGCAAAGTTACTGATACAACATAACACCTTTCTTTGAACAAATCAGGGAATAGATGGCTTTGTTGTGAGGAAAAAAGAAAACTGAAACTATATTAATAATGTCAACTGTTCGCTACCCAGAATCTCCATATTTGTTTCTGGGCTTTTGTTTTGGAGTTTGCTTTTTATCTTCAGCAAATAAATATTTACTGCTTCTGAACTAACACTACCCTAGAATTTTACAATCCACTGAACTCTATCTAATACTAGATTCTCTATTAGAGTAGTTAATTAATAGTCCATAAAAAGACATTCTCTTTTCCATTAAGAATCAGCATTAGGGCCGGCCGAGTGGCGCGTTAGTTAAGAGCTAGCTTGGGGGCTGGCCGAGTGGCGCGATGGTTAAGAACTGGCTTGGGA